GGTGGGGTAAATGCTCACAGACAGAATCACCTGCCAGGCATTCCAGGCGCATGAATTAGCACTTGAATTTGGAGGATCCTGGCCCTGGACAGGAGGACCACAGAAGAGTGATGAGCACCTCTTGAGGAGAAAAAGAGACAAAGACAGCACAAGGGTCTGGATACGTCAAAGTGCAGTGATGGAAAGTGGTGAGTATTTTCAGGTGCACTGCAATGGGTACACAGCCCACTGATGGGGATTCGAGGTCATACCCTAGGGGTGGAGGTGAGTCCTGAGAGTTCAGTCAGTTATCTAAACCAGTGGATCCTTGACCCTTAAAATACACTAGTGTATCATAAACAATTTATGAGCAGTGATAAAGTACCAATGACAGCAAATGACTTAAGAGGATAATTTAGTTTTCTCTCATATTAGTTTTACCAATCTTGACAATAAAATTATTTCTGTAATAATACCATCCTCATTCATCTTGTTTGGTGTTGCCTCCTTGAATCGGGAAAAGGAAGGTAGGAAGTTATAATGGGGTTCCAGTACAGTCATGAGGAAGAAATTTCCTGTATGTGAAAGTATCACAAGTAGAAATTTGAAAGGTTTCATCTTACATCCACTTCATTTTTGTCCACCCTCTATTTCTCAGCTGTTTTTAGTAGAGAAAGTTGAAAATCTGTGTGTCTCAGTTTGCATTTTCTATAGCATTAAGAATAGTATGAAAAAGAATTCTGCTTCTCAGGTTGGCCTAGCCAGGGAGAAACAAACCCAGGCGTGGCAAGCAGGTGTTGACACTGGGAGAAGAGATAGAATTCAACTACAAAACTGAATTACTGGGCCAACAGGACACAAGGAAGAGGTACAAAGGGCGCTTAGTTAGGACAGAGGAGAAACTCTCATTAGGCAACCAGGGAAGTTCCTGAGATCTTAACCAGGAAAAGAGCCCGTTAAAACTTTGCAGAATCATCATTATTAATAAGTTTATTCCAGCAGTTTGGAAATTAAGAATTCAGACTATGTTTTACTCAACTCTGAATCCCTAGTACATGGCACAGGGTTTAACATATATGTGAAGTGCTCAATACAGATTTACTAAATAATCTGAAGAATCTACCTTCCTTAAGTCAAGGCCTTTCACCTGCCCCACTGAACATTTAATATCTCATCTCCTGCATGAATTCCCACTGCTAGCTGGAGAAATGCTTTGTTTTACTTTGGACAACAGAAGGAACTGATGCACCTTCTGTCCCAGCCATTTCAGTTTATTAACTTTTACCCCCTCTTTGAGACCTGGATCTCTACCCAGAAGCCACCAACCCCAGTGGGACCATCTTTAAAAAGCCCATCATTAGACTCTGAAGTATCTAAGTAACCACCACGGGAACTGGAGCAAAGTGTTTCCATAGAAGTGTAGAAGTTTCAGTATAACTAAAATCGTGCTATTTAATAATCACTAAAAGAAAATGATTTTATCTCTACAGTATTCTGACACACATTGTGTGTTACCTGTTATCAGTACATTTCGGGGGACATAATGCAGAAGAGTCGCACCCTTGTCATTCTGCAAAGAAATGCTGTTCTCTAAAGAAAGCACCGTGTCTACGTGGCCCTGTGTCCTCTGTTAGCTTCAATCGATCCTATTCTCAGCACTGTCTTTTCAGAGTGAGGCTGCCGAAGCACCGACACTTTAGGATTAATAATTAGCTGGGAGGATGTTTTTAGAAGTAAAGTAGGAGGCACAGTGAGGGGGTGGCACGCAGTGAAGGGTGCACGAGGAAGGAAAGTTAGGAGAGAACGGGAGAGTTCAGAGAGCTAAGACAGCGTTCCCTGCTCAAGGGATTGGCCTGAGTTTTGCATCTTGTTTTTCAAAGGGGCATTTGTCTTTATCTGCAACACTAATAGATCAACCCTGACACAGTCCTGAGTCTCATGAACAGAGCAGCTCTTCACAGTCAAGTGGGGAGACCGTGCGGGGATGTGAGGAACTTCAGAGAAGGGCTGCACACAGGGCCAACTGTCACCACAGCAGGAGCACTTCCAGCTGAGGAGGTCAATTCAAGTTGTATTTATTGAACTTTCACCTAATTTACATATTTTGTTGACAGAAACTTTTCAGAATCACTCTGGTGATTCTGGTTAATGGGAATCAACTATTTTCAGCATAGTGACTCTCCCTGTTTTCTAGGGACCCATCAATTTCATGAATATATTCATGGAATCTTAGCACTTGATGGCACTTAGGGAACGTCTAACCCAGACTTCACAGACTCAGCACCTATGGGTTCTAAGTAGGTAACACGATTAAGTGAAGACATTTAGTGCAACCGACCGGCACAAAGCCTGAAGGTCAGAGAGATGGTAAGAAGTGGAGAGACTGCAGCAGAGGTACTAGAGGTAGCTCAGACTCCCCTTCAGTTCCAGCCTGGACAACGTAGGCCAGTGTTTCAATTTTTGTAATAAATCTTCCGATTTTTAAGTGCTGGGTTAGTTAAACACAAATACCTGCACTCAAGGGTTTCTTGCTAGACCCCAGGTCTGCCAGTTTTCAATTTCTGAGCTGGTTCTTACATCCTCAAAGCTGAGGCCCTCAGGTTATGAGAAGAAGAGCACCACGTCTCCAGATGTGCGTGGAAAAGCTTTGTCCTGTTCTGAGAATCTTGCTGTTTAGACAAGAAATCCCCCCACCCTCCTCATGAAAGGGGGGTGCAAACGCATTTCCACCCCCTTAACCAGCTCTCAGACTCCAGCTCTGACACAGACACATTTCTGCTGACTGCTTTCAGGACGTGTTTGACACAAAAACAGGATCAGTCCTCCATCCCCATGTGTCACAAACAATTTTTACTCAGACATGCAGGGGAAAATGTATTTGCACTTACTAACCTTAGCTCCGATTAAAATTCTTATTAGCAATTAAAATTCTAGTTGCTGCATTTTGACCTGCATTTTTTCAAGGAGACATAGGTTATAGAAGAACTCAAAGAAAGTCATACTTAAAGAACAATTAAATATAAAAAAAATTCATACTATGTATAACATAGTTTCATATACAGGTCTAAGACTTGTGAAATAATGGGAGTGTTGAGCCACGTTTGGAGTGCCCTGGGAAACTAATTTAGAGTAAAGGAATGAGCATCAAAATGATGTAAAGGCAAAGGCAATGGCCAAACCTGGCCAAAGTGGAACCTGCAATGAACCAAATGTCTTCTGCCTTTCTGACCAATTAAAAACTATAGCAGGGGAAAGCGACTCGTATCCCAGAATAAACAGAATAAAACAAAACCTGTCTATTATATTTAGTATCTCTCTCTTACAAAGCCATAAATTGGAATAAAAATCCGGAGGCAACAAAAATTCTGAATCCTGGTAGTATCTGGTATATTTATAAAGGCAGATGCATAGGCACAGTCTATAATATTTTAGAAAAGTTGTAAGAATTGAAACCCGAAACAGATGTTCTGATTACTGAGAAAACATAATTAACACAAGCATTTACTTCCTCAAGCATTTCCTTTAACAGAAATTGTACATTATAAAGAAAGAGAAGAGTTTCTCATTGACACAATATGGTTATTTCAATTTTTGGTTATTTAGAAATCAATATCCCTGAAAAACAATCAAGAATCTATCAACATAAAGCATCTGATTACTCTCCGTAATCTAGAGCTTCCAGTTTAACGTGATATTTGCAATTCACGCTTCAAAAAGGGTTTTCGGCAACTTTTTCTTTTTCCCTCCAGAAAATTATTTCATGCAAATGTGATTTTTTTTTTAAGGATCCTGGGAGATCTCTGTCCAGCTGCCCACTGTTGAATTAACAACAATGCTGGCATCCCTAGGGACTGCTGTGACTGTAGGTTTTTATGATCCAGCCTCCAGGCTTTTGTTTTTGTTTTTGTTTTCAGGCTTTCCTTGGTTCAAAGTGTCTTGATCTGTGAATCTTGACTAAACCACTCTTGCAGCAGTGACTTGGGTACCACTCTGTTTAGAATCTGAGAATCAGAATGTTTCCATGGAATCCGGTGTGTGCATCCACGAAACCATCTTGCTTCAGATCACTTCAGTGGCTCCCCACTGTTTTCCTGTCACATTAGGCCTTCGGGACAGGGATGCAGATCACTGCACTGTCGTTTAGAAAGGCTCCCTACTTGGATGGTCAATTTTGGGGGAAGGCACACTTAACTAATCTGATTCTCCTCCCTCACCCACTAAGGAGACTTTGATATTCTTTTGAGGTCCTGCTCCTCTTCTCTTTATGGGAAAATCAGTGAAAAACTATCAAAAGGGGTCTAGATATTAGCCCTTGTTGTAACAGTGCCTAAGGACACATTATTAACTTCTCAGGAACTGATCTGTAATCATTTTATTTCCTACACAATGGTGTCCAAATGTGGCTATCAGAATCCTTTGGGGACCTTAAATAAATACTAATTTCTAAACTCTGCTTTTGGATTCAGATTTGGATTGAAGAGGTCATTGCATTTAACCTTGTGGCCAAGGGTCAGTTATTACTGTCTGGTAATAGTAATTTGGACCTCAAATTATGCTGCTAGCTTCAAAATAAAGCCAACAATCTAATTACAGGCATGAAAAATTAGAAAGCTGTTACTGAGCTGCGAACTCCAATGTGCCCAGTTAAAAAGCTGTGAACAATTTTCCCAATGGCGCTGAAGATAGTAATTTAACTTTTAAGAGTATATATTTTCTTCATGAATTCCCTAAATGTCTTTTCAATTCAGATGCATTCTTTACATGTTTTTATTATGCCAAACTTGACTCTTACGCAGAAAATTAGATTATCACTAAACACTCCTGATGCTGAAAAGCAAGATGAAGGAGGAATCTAAAGATATCTTTATTTTTTTAAAAACCAAATTTCCATATTTGCATTCTAAATCACCTAATTCAAGCCAATGAGTCTCTTTAACTGGCACTATTTCTGGTTAAAGCTACAGCTTTTCTCAAAGGTACACTTTATTTAAAGGTATAGCCTTATTCAAAGGGGTGGCAATGTCACAATACAGTCTCTTTCCAGAGGAAAGACAGCAAGAGCTGGAAGACAGACAAGAAAGTTCTCAGAAGCACACTTTCTTCTCCGACTTGTTTTCTCAAAAGAACTAGTGGGCTACCTACAGCAAAAGACAAAGATGTTAATTTCTAGAAATCTACACTCACAAAATTAAACATCTAAGAGGATGGGCAAGTCAGAGAACAATTGAAAGAAAAAATATGGTATGGCCTGCCCTTCCTTCTGGGCTCACAGCTGCCTGGCAACCTGACTCACCCTCACAGGGGCCATGGGTGCCTCTCCTGGGGTTCCCCGTCTCCACAGTGATGCGCAGGTGAGGCTGGTGGAAGAGAACAGAAGAGCTGGCTGACCTTGAGACTTTCATGCAAATGTTCATCCCCCGCGCCAGCAATTGCAGTTCTGTTCTGAGAAATGAAATACTCATGCAACAATGTGGTATATTCCGTAATGTCAACAATTCAATCATCAAACTCAACCCGTTTGATGAATCAAGGCCAAACCACTAACTGGGAGCAAAAGAAAGAAAAAGGTGTCAGGAAATGACAGACATAGGATGCTATGATCATTCTGGCTAGATTTTCTTAAAGTAGCAATATAAGGAAATCTTAGATACTGAATAACACCATTAATAAAAAGCGTACAGATACAAAGCTAGAGAATAAAACAGCAATTGGGGGAAGATGTATGGGGATTTACGTCAAAGGATGCAAGGCAGCAGATGTGTGGATGTGCGAATCTAAAGACTTATGTACAACACGTGGACTATAGAAACAACAGTGTATTGTATTCAGAGCTTTTGCTAAGTGAGTACATTATAGCTCTTCCTGGCAGAGGGTGAGGGTCGGAGGTTGAGAAGAGGGTAACTGTGATGGTCAACATGTTAATTTATTTAACTACAGTAAACATATAACATTGACATGTATGTTTACATAAATATATAGAGAGTAAACACTGTGTAGTATACCTTAAGTATACACAATAAAATTTATTTAAAATTAGCAAACTCTCTTTTTTGGGACAGAGGTTTCGATGTAGCTCAGATTCTCTTCAATGTCAAGGGTCTCCTGCCTCAGCTTCCCAAGTACTAGGACTACACACATGCACTACCATGACTTGGTTTAAAAAAACATAGCAACTCAAGTGATATTTTAGTCTAAACAGAAACTCCACTGCAATTATCTCCCCACAAAGTGATAGTCACTTTTTTCTTTTCTAAGTGATTCCTGAACAGAGCTCTCATTCTATCCCTCATTCTTCACGGTCACCACCCCTTTCACCACCCACCCCTCCCAGCTATCCTCTATAAACCTGCTCAAGCGCCACCTCCTTCCAGAAGCCTTTCCAGGACAGTTCGGTCCCCTCTGACTTTACAGCCATGCACTTGGCAGGTTCCAAGTGAGCTTCTCTTCACTGTGTCACTTAAAGCAGTAGTTTTTGCACTTTTTGGAACACGGTGACCGTAGTTGGCTACATACTTTATATAGTCCATGATGTACCTACATACAAGTGTGTAATTTAAAGGTTCTACGAACAACACTTACCCTTCTACACTCTTACTCTATCAAGTTTCTCAAAAATAAAAATGTCAACTAGATTCACTAGGGGTCAGGACCTGTGGCTTGAAAATACAGTTCTAGAAGGGCACTTATTGCTGCAACTATTTCCCTGGCTTAAAAACTACTTAAAAATTATATGTGGCCTTTGGGCTGTCTTTAGCCCATGTTCTGAGTTCACTGTTCATTTGGTTTTCACACCGGCGTGCCTCTGTCTTTTGTAGTCATCTGGGACCATTAAGTGCTTGACAGATACACATTCTTTTCCATCCTTTTTCTTTGAGCACTGTTATCTCAGCAATAAGAGTCCCCACAGCTCTACAGCCCATTTTTCTAAGACTGAAATCTCCATCACCTCACTCTCTCTGACTTGCAGAATACGCAGCGAAGGTAGTAGACATTTCCTGGATGAAGTAACTGGGGCACAGAGGATTATGACTACTTTCCCAAGGACTTTCATTTCCTCTAAGCAGGCGATTGTAAATGAAGGTAAATGTAGTTTGTAGATATGTGGAGGACATAAATTTGGATAACTGGAGCCATGAAGAGCTTCAACATAAGTCCATTCACCTAACATCTCCAAGTGAAATGGCACCAGAGGAGGGAGCAGGCCTTCAGGACTTCAGCTTGGGGTGGATCCCGCTTCTGTCTGTAGCTTCGTCCTTCCCCCTTTATGTATGCATTCTGCTTCCAACCACCTTATTTTCTGGGGCTTCTCCACATTTTTGCCCCTATATGAGGAAGGCCCTTCCTCCTCCTCTTCATCAGGTGAGTCTCTGGCATCCTCAGCCCCATCGGAAGCTCACCTTGTTCCCTCCACCTGCACAGCCAGGCTTCCGTAGCACCTGGCTGTGGGACTCAACTAGCTGTCACAGTCAGCCTCCCCCTCTAGTTTTGTGGGTTGAGACTGGGTCCCTTTTATTCTTCTATTACACATTCAAAGACCATCTTCAGTTCCAGAAGAATATACCTTGAATGGATGAATGAGAGCACACAGGGCAGGAGCAGCTGCCACTGAACAAGCTCAAGTGGAAGCTGGGATTACAATCCTGTGTCCTGTCTGTCTGAAGTCTGTAGTTTTGGATTTTGTGATTCTACCGCCAATATCTTAGTGCTTCCCTTTAGGCTGCAGATTTTGTGACTGCAAATTCAAGCAGCGAGGGCTAGCTGCAGCTAAATATATTCCTTCAAGGATATTTGAAGCATAATCAAGAACATGTTGCAGGAACAAATAATTAAGTGTATTGGACTAGTCTTTTGAGGCAATTTAAAACACTCACATTTCAAAATAGCTTGCTGGAATCTCCCCTCCTCTGCAGTGAGACTAATCTGATTCATATAATGCTCTCCTCCTCCACTCTCTATGCAGTTGGTGCCCTGGTGATGTGGACCTAACCATTTCCACAACAGTCTAGCTAGTGATTAGCTGGAGCCTCCCCACACCACACTGAGGCACACTGTCCATTTTTCTCCATCACTGCCTGGGCTCTGTTTCCAAAACACATTTCAACGATATAACACTTAGACTTGTGACAGAAACTCCTACTTTTTTTTTTTCTGTTTATGAATGAACAGTTCAGTCGCCCTACTAAACACACACAAACTTGGAAAATATATTCCTCACAATTCCATCTCCAAAGAACATTCTCTAATGCAAACTCTGGTCATTTGGGGATAGCAGTCAAGAAGATTTTCTTCTTTGTGCTGTGACTCATGTGTCTTTATTCTCACAATTGTTACTCAGGGCAGGCCAACGGTGAGCACAACGGAAAAGGAAGAATAGTTTATAACTGGAAAATAAGCACGTTCGGGAGAAGTACACTCAAAGCATTATCGAAGTAAAATATGCACCAGTACCAACAAGAGCAAACAAAAGCCCACGCAAGAGATGTGTAAATATTTCATGAAGCTAAGCCTTAATCAACTCTCTCCAAATCTTCCTGGTGCTGTAAACACTTCAGTTTCTTTCAGTCCCACCATGACCTAGATTTCTTGCAAAAATAAAGTGAAAACATGGACCAATGGATCTTTAACAAGTGTGCTGTGAAAAATATTTAAATGGAGCATATGAAACACAGGTTTACCTGGAGGAAGAGGGGACTGCTACATGGGTGGCTACTCAGAGCTCGACTTCTCCGTCCTCCCCCAAGCCCTTGCCTTTTTCCACCTCCTCTGCTGCTTTGTGGACATGCACAGCATCTTAACCTTGAACTGCCTACATGCTAAGCAGAGATTTCTCCAACACCCCTCCAGAAAGCCCTTGAAGCCTGACCTGCATTTGCGGCCTTCCTCCCATTCCCCATTCACGTCCCAGGGTCTAGAAGGGGTCGCTCCTTCTCCCCTCTTGCACTGTCCATTGTTGCGTCTGAAATTTTGTATACATATTTTCCATCTTTCGGACAGAACGAAGCTCTGCCATCGGTATTGGTCGCAGACCCTCCTCAGCCCTTTTCTAAAACCCCCCTCCACAGAGCCATTTATCACCCCTCGTCTCTACCTTGACTGAATGTGGTTCCAAAGTTCACCTCCAGATACAGAACACGTCTCTACAGTGATTTCCGTTTATCGACCCAGGCCCGCCCTCCTTCTGCTCTCCTACCTCAACAAAAACTATATGCACATATCCACTCACATGTAAATGCATATGTATTATAAATGACTCGCGTTTGACCTTAAGGGGAACAAGAAGAGGAAAATGGGAAGAATCTCCCTCTCTCTCTCTCTCTCTCTCTCTCTCTCTCTCTCTCTCTCTCTCTCTCACACACACACACACACACAAACGCGCGCGCGCGCGCGGACACTCGCAGTGTGCAGACCTCACCCCGAGCAGCAGGCGTCTTCCCCAGTTACCTTCCAAGGCAGGGCTCCAGGGAGGGATGACCTTGCAGAGAAATTCAGCACCTGCGAGCAGGCGGCCCCTCCTGCCGCGCAGGACGGGATGGGAGCGGAGCAACAGGCGAAGGATCCCCGGGAAGGAACGGAAGGGGGCCGGACGCGGCGGCGAGGCGCGGTCCCCGCCCGGGCGGAGGGGGCGCTACCTGCGGGGTCCCGGCAGGGGCGGTGCCCGTCGCTGACCCGG